CCTACACACAAATGGCACGTGTCCATCTCTTGATACGGCCCCTTGAGAGCACAACCACAGCCCCGGACCTCATTTATTAGAGACCCATGCTTTGGACTCGGGGAGCTTTTCCAGTTGCACTTCGCTGATGTGCCCCAACATCTTCATATACCCTTGGCAGATCAAAAGACTCAGGAAAAAAAAAAGGGGGTTTTGTTTGTTTGTTTGTTTTTGTTTTTTCTTTTCTGGGAAGTATGTTTTGACATGGTGGTTCCCAAACTGTGGCTTTTCAAATCACAGTCAGCAGAACAGTAATATACTATTCATTATTTACATCCACTGGGGAGGATTTTCAAGTACAGGCCATTTGTAAGTATTTTCAGGTTTGCAAATAGTCTTATCAAAAAGGAGGGTTTGAAATTATTGCTTGAGAACAAAAACATTAGAAGAACTCCAGAACAAATAATGCCCCAGGGCTCTAAGGAAAGTGAGGGGAATTGTTCTCTGAAACTAATATTTACATAAGCTTCTTCCAAATACAAAGGAACATTTCAATGCCCATTAAAAAAAAACCAAAAAAACCCACACCAAACAAGAAACCCCCCAAAAAAACACCAGAGAAAAACTTCAGCAGTACCTTTCTTTAAAAATATTCCAAAAGTTGGAAGATAATTTTTTTTTTTTTTTTTTTTTAGATAATCATTTGCCAGGTCTCTCAATTCTTTCTTAGGAAAAAAAAAAAAAATCAAATATTCAAATGCTGCGATACTCTTAGTGTAACACATGGAAATCAAGCAAGTTATATTGAAAGGAAAGGTTGAATGACAGTGCTTATCAAGAACAGGGTTTGACAGATAGGTAACAGTTAGTGCCACATGCTACATTTCTTGGTTGTGATGATGAACATACCTTTGGTACATGAACAAGATCAGGTTTTTGTACAGTAGCCACTCTGGAAGAAGAAAAACATACACATCATCATAAAAAACAAATTCTTTAATGTTTAAGCATTTCCCTCTTCCAACACACCTTGTCTACCCACAGATATATAAAACATTTCATCTTTTTTCCTCTAAAGGAACCAACAAACATTCAAGTTAAACCCACGACGTTGTTAAAACAAGGGAAAGGCAAAACCAAACTGGATGGATTTATTCAGATACAACACTAGGAACTCTAGCATCAATCATCAAGTACTATTTGATTTATAAATTCATAATACCATATCACCAATTAGGAGACCTCAGCTCCAACTTGCTTATTTTTTTCCAACCTTTCATAAGAAACTATGTCACGTAACTCAAAAGCTCTGGTCAGATAAATTCCATTTTAAATACCACATGACCTTTATTCAGGCTTAAAACAGAAAACTTCCTTTTAGAACAACAACAACAAAAATCCTTCAGAAGGACTTAGCAAGTTAAATAATACAGAAACTTTTTGCACAGTCTTTGGTCTTCAAAGGTAAAGTTAATGTCACTTGAACTCCACAGTGGATGGCAAAAAAAACTCTTGCAAAAAATGGGTGCATTGAAACTACTACGGGGTGATGGGAAGGGAAGGAAAGGAAGTATTGCAATGGAAAGGATGAAGAAGATAAAGTCAGCTTTTGTTATACCTACAGTGAACTGGCAACATGTTATGCAAAAATACATACCCCCCCCACACACAATTTTTTTTTTAAAAAAAACCAAAGCAATACACCAGAAAAAAATCTGACCCTCTAACATTTTGTCTGCAAATATTGCTGCTGATACACTTAAGCCTTTTCACGCTGTTTCAGTAGAAAAGTGGCTTCCTGCCACTTTTCCAAACATTTCTGGCCATATTTGGTAGCTGCTCAGAAAAGCTGGCACCCTGAGTGATCCAGGACCCAGCGATCATATCCTGCCTGAAATCACATAACCCCAGTTTCCGACAAATCTTCTAAAGAGGGTTTTCAAGACTTGAAGCTGGATTCTCATTTCCAAAAGATAGTTTGCCAGGGAGGGAAAAACACTTGTTTCATTGGAGATCAGATAACAGAGGCTACAATTTAAAACACCCTTATTGTATAAACCAGCTTTTCTGTGTCTACCAGGAAAACATGAGAGCTAGATTTGAATCAGGCACTCTTCATCCATTTAAACATCATCTTTCTAAATTTTTTGTCCTCTTTTCTTTCTTTATTTTCTTTTTTTTTTCTTTTTTTCTAATTATGTTCAAAATGTTTACTTCTTTCCTCAAAGCCATTTGGCCCTCAGGGCTCATCAGATTCCAGCAAACAGCAATCCTGCTGCTGCAGGTCCAGTAACTCACTTACAGAAAGGGAGATGCACATAATCCACATGCTATGCTGGCAGAAGAAAAAAAAGAGGGGAAGAAAAAAAAAAAGAAAAACATAGCATGAAAAGATCATCTCCTGCACTTCGCTTTCACCATTTGTGCATCGCTGCTGACACACAATATGTCCACATCAAAGAGCGGAACAGGTCCGTCCTCCGCTTTCCCACAGAGCGCGCAGCCTATGAGAAGACCGACCTCCAGCTCTCCGAAGCGCTGGGGTGCATCATTAATCACTCCTAACTGCAGACTTGTCAATTTGCAGCAACAAAGGCAACAAGAAGGAAAAAAAAAAAATTCCAACATGTATGGAAATTTTTCTTTCTTTTTTAAGACTAGAATTAGAAGGAAACATGCATCTTGCTCCTTATCTTATCGTTTTTTTAATAAAGTAACTTGGAATGTTTTGTGTATTTATTAAGCTAATCTAACAGTAAGAAGAAGAAAGACATTAATTACTCAAGTCAACTACTATATGTCATGCTTGAGGAAAAAAAACTTCTCTTTGCTGATGCTGGACTTTGAAGTTCTAGTCTCATGAAAGGAACATACTTGATTTTTTTTTGTTTGTTTTGTTTTTACAAAATAATCAAATTTGAGTTTGCAATGAAGGAGACTGCTTTTTTTGCATTCATCAATACAGCACTGAGCAAAAATTATTTCAAACCACTATTTCAAGATGATCTGAAGATATACTCTTCAAAATTTCATCTTCAAAAATACCATACAAAAAGAAAACAAAAAAAAAAAAAGAAAAAAAAGGCTTGATAACGGAAATGTTCTCAACGTTCTTTTACCATTGGAGACAGACAGCACAACATTACTTTATTTCCCCCAAACATACTTGAAATAAGGACATAAATTTGTATGTCCCAGACATACTTCAAACAGTTTAACTTGGCTTTGTTGACTTCAGACCATAATCAGACTAAAAGCTGTGATTTATCCCATATCGTAGAAAGGAAATGCTCACCCAGCAAACCGAGCCACCAAGAACTGAATGTGAAAAATGCGCAGTGGTTAGACAAGACAGCGCAAAACAAAATGCACGCTTCAAGCTTGAAAAGCAAAACACATCCAACACATACATTTAAGAAAATACTTCCTTCAGGGCTATTTCCCTCAGGATTTTGATAGATAGCACCAAATTACATATAAAAAAAAAAATTAAACTGCAGAATCTTGTCTAAGTTCTTAGCTGTTAGCACTTCACTTGCCACTTAGCAATTAAATGCGTTAGGATTTCATGCTGGTTTGGTCACGTTGAATGTATGAATAACTGATGATAAAGGCTTTCAAAATGAGATGACACACTTTGCCCTGTTACTACTTACTAGAAAAGCAGGATGGTTTGAAGCAGGATATTTTCTGAATGATTTAAAACTAGCAGCTCAGTATGTTAGTTTATGCAATAGTTTCAATAACATACAAACAAAGCCAAGCCATAAAAGCTCAGTATAAATGCTTATTATAAACAACACAGACAAGAGACCTTGGCAAACAGTTTCCAGCTTCTTATGAATTATTACAGACAACAAAAGCAGCAACCATCACTTACTGGCAGCCTAATACTGAAAATTAAAGCCCACAAAATTTTTGCCCAGGCTTCTCCATCCAGGTCATTTGTTCTTGCAGAAAAAAGCTATATTTAGCCTGTGTGAACACTTCATTTCGAGCAAACATAATCAAATTTGCTTTCTAAACATACCACAAGCTGTTCGTCTCCGATGAATACTTTTGTGACATTTAATGCAATTCAAAACATTCCAACTTCCAGCGCAGCCTTATTAGGAAAACGCATTACTCTGTGCTTTGCTGTAAGCAATGTGCCCAGCAGAAACTATTCATTCTTTAAATTCTCCTTTTATTCATGCCCTTTCCGTGTATTTCACCCTCACCTATTAGTTTGTGTGGGTGGTGGTTTTTTTTTTTTTTTTTTTCCCCCCCCCAAAAAAAAAAAAAAAAAAAAAAAAAAAAAGACATTAGCAATATAACAGAAACCTTCCATAATTATTAATATCTGGGAAACCTCATTACTAAAGGTAAAGCTACAGTATTTCACGCTTCTTCAGTAAGTCCAAGTGATAAGTCACCTCTAAAGACCCATCATCAGCAAAACCACTGCAATCTCAATAATCAGCATTATGGAAGTAAATTCAATGCAAAGCAGGGGGTTTGGGACAAGCCTCAGGTGTCCTGTGTTGTATAACCACACAACAGAGGCCCAAACCTTCAGCCAATAAATCCCTAAAGCTTCATTGAATCTAAAATCCAAATGATGTTTCAGATTCATCTCTCCTCTGAACTCTATGTAAAGTCCCACCATCTCCAGTCCTTCTGCCCCTTAGTAAAGGCGCTTAACTGCATTTATAACTTAAAAATCAGATGTCAAACTCAGTGGAAAAACCACAAGAAGGTAACCATGGTTATGAACTCTTCTATAAATAAGGGGAGCACGCAATACCAGTATTAATATCGGTACTGCACTTGGCGGTTTTGTATCTCTGTAATTTAAAGAGCTGCTCATAAACCCTACTGTGAGATAAAACGAGAAGCTGCCGCAACACCTTCATCGCTGAAACAAAGTAAAAGGGTGGAAGACTTTCCGCAAAATTGTTTTTGTTGTTCTGAACTGAACCCTTCTAAGAGTAGGAAGCAAGAAAGGAAGGAATTTTTTCCCACTCCTCTCATTTTCAAAACCAACTCCTTTTTCCTAGTTGATCAATTGGGATACAGCTTCTGGCAGCAGATACTACATCCCTGAAAAGCCATTGGTCATATCTTCCTTCTGAAACCTCATCTTTTAGCGGTTTTGCCATTGTAGTCCGTACTTCTGTTCGTTTGCTTCATTTTATTTCTAGAGAGCAGCCAGTTGACAGGGCAGAAAGCGAAATGCATTAGCTTTTCATAAATCAGCCAGCTCATGAAAAAAAGATGACAAGCAGAAAACGTTTAATATATACAACAAGCTATGACTTTCACTCAGGGTTATCTGAACAAAAACAAATGCAGAACTAATTTAAAGCACATAAAAATGAACAATCCAAATAAGTTTCTTTTTTCCTTAGTCCCAAGCCCTTTCTGTGTCACTGCCGTAATTAATTTCTTACCGACCTTGCTCTGAGACACAACAATAGAAAAGCAAAAACATTCTTAAGCTTGCTTCTTATTGCAGCTCATACCCCATTAGAAATGGCTGCCTTACATACATTAACATAACGTACAACCACGCTCCGCACGGTTTTGTAGGAACACACACCCTGGCCCACACAAAGCTAGTTGGTAAATCAGTGCTTCAGCAATCTCGCCATCACTAGCTCGTGTGGCCTCGAGACTGCAAACCCGCGCACTTCCCAGGACAGGGCAAAGCAGACCTAGCAAAATTACCACCAAGTACTGCTCAACGAGAACCTGAATCGGTTGCAGTTCTTGCAAAAAGGAGATTACATTTTTTTTTTCTCCTTAAGAAACACTGTAGTGGTTTCAAATCTATACTCTGGCCATTACACTTGCTAACATACCAGTGTACCATGGCTGTCAACAACATTTTATTTCTCCAGTTATTCTCTTTGTTCTAGTTTATTACGTCGGTTTTCATTGAGTTGAACATACCAAATGATGACAAATACG